AGGGTAAGATTCTATCCTCCTTTTGTGTATAGTATTTTGTAAAAGGAACATAATCTTACTAGGTATAACCACCCACAAAAACGCTACTCAGTTCAGGGTCTCCGAGGGTTCATGGGATTTAGTAACTGTAACTACTTATAACTGGGTGCTTTTATGAGGCTATGGGGATATGTAATAGGGTTCAGGGTTTAGGGCTTGCAGTTGGGCTTTAGATCGTACGTAAGATTTTCTCCGTAGCTGCAACTAGGGCTTGATTTCATGTTGACCGTGGTTAAGGAAGCCACCATAGGGATCCATTCGTCCATTCACTACTGAGCAAGGGAGGTTACATGTCAAGAAGACCGACGCAGGATTCATACCTTATTGACCTGATGCCTGGAAGTATTGACTCAATGAAGACCTTCGTATGCAACACTATCTGGTCTGCTCTGGAAGCCTCTCGTCGTCAATATGGTGCGAGACCTACTATGAGGGTTTCCACAATCTCAGCATCATCAGCGTTGCCAACACTCCTGAGCAGCAGTGCAGCAGGTCGCCCATGTGCCAAGGCAGAAGCCAACTAGCAACGAGAGTTCCTTGCGCCTAATGAAAGCCACCTGCATGCACGTCCGAGCAGCAGGACAAACCAATCCAATTTACTTGTTGCAAGAGCTGCGTGCTGACTGCTGCAAGTTCAGAAGACCCTTTCACGACAAATAACGATCTCTTGTGCCAGGTGCGGTCGTTCACCGCCCATGCAGATGCTGGCTGCTCTGAGAGGTCTAAAGACCCTCCTTCTCGCGCCCGGCACCCCGGCGGTGTGCTCCGCAGTTGTGAGTTTCAGTTCATCTTCTGAATCGTTGAAATCAGAACCTGTCGTAAAGGGATGATATAAGTGAAGGCTCCTGTTTTCAGCCCTAAGCCTTAAACCTTAACCATGTGAGTTATAGTGTAACCTCCTTAAAGGGGGATAGATAGGGGATTATAAGGGGCAGTGTTATAAGGCCTACTAAGGGGGGTACTAGGAGTTTAGTCAATGGCTCACATCAGTCCAGGCTGCTTTGCTGGAGCATCTGCCGTTAGACCTGGCTGTGTCCAAGAGGGTTATTTCGGCTTCTCATGTTGACAAGAGCTTGACTGCTTGGTGCTTTGTAGGGAATGCAGGACAATTATGAGTCGTGAGGGCTATGATGTGGATTCTATGGGGATTACTACAGGGATCTGTTCGTTCATTATGCATGACCTACCAAGAACCAGGTAGGTGATTGATGTATGGATGCTTCAACCTTGGAGATTTCGTTTTGAGACCTCGCATGAAGTCTGGAACAAATGGGATCCTTGGTGCATGGGTCATTTGCACTACACAGGACGGAGGACTCCTGGACTACAATTTTGGGTGACTGTTCTCCGTTTCTTGCCTCTTCGTCCAGCACAAGTTGGTCGTTTGGTTCAAGAAACCTTACAGCAAGAAGCACTCTCAAGTGATGCCAGTTGGCTATCCTTTTGCAGTCATGAGCTTCTAGCGTAGTTGGTCAATGGACATGTTATGACATGTTGCAGTTGAAGTCTCCCTAAGATTGTTGGGTGCCTCTCCCTGAGATTGTTGGGGGCTTCAAAACATGGTCCTAGCAATCTCCGTGTTGTGCAGTACCCTGCAAAGCTGGAAGACTGCTTCCAGCATTTTCACGCATTTTGAATGGCAGGTAACCTCCGGATCCCATTATAAGGTAGGAGTCCGAGCCATTGCTTCAGACAATTGCAAGCCTTCTCTTGGAGCCAGAACAGCCTTTCCACAAGTATGATGTCACACGCTTCTGCTTGAATGTTCCAAAATTTCCTCATAGTCCGTCTCTCCTTGTGGGTATTTGGGAAGTCTGACAGAGGCTGGCCACATTTTGTCCTGCCACGCTGTGGGTTAACAGTAAAGATAGCATGACCTAGCTTTCGAGATTGCAAGGCACATGTTCAGCGTGTTTGAGCCATTCTCTATGTTTTGAGTTGATCACATCCTCCGACTACTCCTATTCCTAGTCCTACTGCACTCCTTTTCCTTAGCCCAGGCTTAGAGCAACCTGGACTGCTGGCCAGATGGAGGCCGTTGCTTTCGTGCCGCTTCCTGTTCTCTGCTGTTGGCATTGTGGATTGGGTACGGTAGGAGGCAATAGCCATGTATCGTCCAGTGGAAGCTGCATTTCTACGTTTGCGACTTGCACTAATCTAGCGGATGAAGCTGAGCATGTGTTGACCTCACAGCGTGAGACTTGCTCCTCTGGGCTTTCACGCAGCACTTGGCAGCTTCTTCAGCATCCCGCTTCCAAGCCCCAGACACCGCACACCTTTCGACATGTCTGGGGTCCTCAAGGTCAGTGCCTCAGAGCTCAAGGCTTGGGGGGTGCATGTCTCACAAAGTTTGGGTGTTCCCCTAAGGATCTTCAGTGGAATGAGTTTGCAGTTGTTTCTGAGCTCACTGGAGGTTATCTGGCGCCTGGAGGTGGCGGACATGCGAGACATGAGCAAGGGCAAGTCAATTTGTAGCCAGACGCTGCAGTTCTTGGGGCAGACTTTCACCTTGGAGTTCTTTCCATGTGGAAAGTCTCAGGCGTATGCGCGCTGCTGCAGCCTCTTCCTGCATGCAGCTGTGCCTTGTGAGATTGACTTTCACCTCAAGGGGAGGCAGAAGCGCATTGAAGTTCCAGCAGGGGGATGTCGGGATTCGGCCAGGGGTGACGATGACTTTGGCCCGCAGCCCGACCTCTCGAAACCGGTTGAGATCTCAGTCTGCTTCATCAAATTGGGAGGCAAGGATGCGGACAACTTGCGGAAGGAGTTCATTTGCCAGTATGAGAAGGAGACCAACGACTTGACGGCGCAGAAGAACGTCCTGGAGAAGGAGGCCGAAGTGAGATTCAAAGAGCTTGTTACTCTGCGACGAAAGGCTGAAGAGCTGGAGGATTCGAAGAGCAAAGTTGCAGGCATGGAGGCTCAGAACACTCGCTTGGAGAAGGAGTGCGTGGTGACTCGCAAGGAACTTGAGAAACAAGCTCGAGAGCTGGCAAGTTGGAGAAGCAAAGTCGAGCATCTCGAAGGGCAAAAGGCAAGTCTGGAAGGCCTGACCTGCTCGATGAGCAAATTGCTGTCTGAACGCAAGCTGGAAGTCGAAGCTTTGGAGGGCATCTTGGCCGCGAGCAGTGACAGTGCCCGGCACCGAGAGCGGCGCTTGTCCAGAGCTGCTACAAGGATCCAGACGACTTGGCGGATGTTCGCTTGTCGGACGCTGATGAGGTCCAGGCTGGCCGAGAGGAGGCGCAGCGTGAAGCATGGGAGGGAGCTGACGGCCGCGCTGCGGGTGCAGCTTGCCTGGCGCCTGTACCAGAAGCGCCTGCAGCGTCGTTGGCGCAGCAAGGTCAGCAAGAGCCAAACCACTCTGTACGATGCTGTCTTGGCCCTGGAGTCTTTGGCCCAGTTCTTGTCGACGGGCGAGATCCCCTTCTTGCAGCACACCGAGTCAGTGCTTCAGTTGGCAAGCGAAGTAAAGTTTCGCGTCGTGGCGGTGGTGGGCCTCTTCGACAAGGGCAAGACCTGGCTTACCAACAAGCTTTTCGGCGTGAACCTGCCTTCTGGGAAGCTTCACACTTCACACGACCCGCGAGTTTCTTGTGGATCGAGGAGCGCCGGATGCTGGTGCTGGACTCCGCCGGTGTGCAGTCAACTGTCTCCTACCTGAAGCAGGACGTGGATGCCATCCTCGATGCCCAGACGACGGAGTCCCTGATGTTTGAGATGATCTCCCGCATCGCGCACCACATGATCTTCGTGGTGAATGACCTCACTTGGTTCGAGCAGAAGTACGTGGCCATGCTCCACCAGAAGTACGTCCAGGGCGGGCAGCAGAAGGAGTTGGTGGTGGTGCACAACCTGCGGAACACCACGGACAAGGAGGAGGCTTGCAAGCTCTTCAAGCGGCAGGTGATGCGGTGTTATGATGGCGAGCAGTCACACTTGGGGGAGCTTATCTTCACCCAGGATGCTGGGAATGGGGCTCCGCCTCTGCACCACATCGGCCTTTGCTACGAGTTCTCGCTCGCGGGTGACGCCTTCAACGAGAAGAACCGGCAGCATCTGCTGCAGAGCTTGGAGCACCGGA